GAGAAGTTTCCTGCCAGATTACTTTATATATGAATGACTTCATCAGGAGCAGACGCAGCCCAACCTGGGGAAGGTGTTGCACAGCTACCTTCGTTTCTCGTGCCTGGGATCACACACACAGCCCTGCACTGGCTGTCACATGTCAGGAGAAGACAACATCCAAACCTCTAGTTCTACAGTAAATCCACAGGTGTACAGGGCGGGCTCAGGGCCAAAAGACAGGCAACACAGGAAAACCTGTGGCAGAAAGTCCAGGGGGCTACTAATTTCAATAAATGCTTTTACGTGCAAATACCGTTTTCATTATCTCATCCCGTGTGACTTCTAGAAAACTATTTACCTTTTAACAAGAATTTACACAGAAATGCATTTACATTTGCTATGCATTTCTATAGGAACACCGTGCAAGCTGAACAAATAGGAAGCAGATTGTACACTGTTGTTCTTTTTTTAAAAGACATATGCAACACAGTTCCCACATTTTCTCGAGAAAGGACGAACTACAGATGCTTTTATGCACCTAGAGAATATAAGGAATTTACAAAGCCAGATGTTAACGTGTTGATAAAATATAGCACAAACATGAAGTATTCCCAAGGGAGGAACACGCTGGAAACTAGAAGCGTAAGAGATACGGTCAGGATAAAATAATGTCTACATGTATACCATACTCAAGTTGAACCAAGTCATTATTCAGCTGTACAAAGGCTGCCCCGTAGTATATTAGGGTATTAAGAAAGTTATACTGAAGTAATGTTTAACATCTGAGAAGTAGGGTCACGCAGAGTTCAACATGGACTGGAGCCACATAAGAAGCACCTCTAGTTGAAAAACTTAGAAGTATTTCAGCGAATTTCAACAGAAAAGTTGGTGGTTTTTTTTTTTCTCTTCAAAATCTGCTCTCTCTGATCAGATGTCAGAGAAGTAAAAGGCAACACGTGTGCCACAGTACCATGGAGGAGTAGCGGGGGAAATAAGAATTGGGAAAGCCTGGGAGGTTAATTCATACCCCTTACCTCCGAGTCTCCGCAGCATCACCAGCCTGCAGGTGGAAACCTCCATGGGCAGCGATTCCAGTTGTCTCTGATAAGAAATACACGAAGCCTGGTAATACCACCTTTCTTTGAAATACGTAGAGGCTGCATAAAACTCGCTTCACCGGTAGATCAGATACCATTGATGAAACCTCGACACAACGTCCTCGAAACCAGAGCAAGCATTGGCAGCTACTGGCGAGAGAGAGAAAAGCTCAAGCCCCTTATTTTCTTTTCACAAATGAGCAAAATTATTGAAGCGTTACCATAAAGCACAAACACCCACCTGCAAACGAGGCAGCCAATTATCACTGTGGAGTAAATTCCATTCTTCTGGGGAGGGGAAAAAAATGCAAAGCAGAAGCTCATCTAAGTATGGCTACTTGTCTTTAAACCCTCTTGTGACTAAAAACCTTTCAGGTACTCGCTATTAGAAACAGAAGCAAAGAGCACTCAGAGCTTCAAAAGATCGTCTTTACCTCTAACACTGAACCCAATCCTTTAGCACCTGTTAGGGTGGCTGTCAAAAGATGCCCTCAGGTCATAGCACAGCCCTTCCATTTAATCTCCAGAACCCTTTCAAAAAAAAAAAAAAAAAAAGCCCCTGAAGTGGTTTTTATGGAGCAACTTCAGAAATTGGGGGGGTGGGGGAGAGGGAGGGAAGGTCTCCCCTTGTAAAAAGATCAGCACATTCAGACAAAAAAAAGAAAAGTACTTCCACAATCATGAAGCTTTTACTCTCTTTAGAGCAAAACGTGCCAAGCTTCACTTCCCAGGATCTGACAAGTTCAAAGTTGTGTGCTTCGGGAGATCTTCGATTTATCTTTCTCCTTCCACGCAGAACGGAGAGGGTTGCCAGCAGCTTTCAAAACCTATCAGCTCTGTACCTTAAACGCATGCACGTACCTAACAAAACAGAATGAGAGAATACATCTTATGCTTGTGTTAGCGAGGAAACAAGTTGTGTATCTTGCCCCAAAGAGCTGGAAAGTTAGCTGCCTCTCCAGTGCCATGCTGGGCAGTTTGGGGGAAACCTCCCTACAGCCCTCAGCATCCATGTCAGTTGGGAGGGAAGTGATCTTCCCCCCCCCCCCCCCCCCCAAAAAAAAAAAGTTTGTTGCTTTTTTTTTTATTTTTTAATGGGTCAAACAGCAAAAAAACTTCAAGTTTTCTTCACTATGACAAGGACAAAAGATGCCTAAAAACGAAAGTTGAGATTCTCACATGACTCTGAACTGGGACAACTTCACCACAATACTTGTGGTAAAATGAAGTTGCAAAAGCAGAAATACACATACCACTGTCATCCAGAGTCCTTCGAGCTCCCAGTGCTGCAGAGGTGCCTAGCCTGAAATTTAGCCTCATTTGGGTAGAATCATTTGGGAACACCAGACAAATGCTCATCTAAACATTGTTCAAGAGCTCCTTAGCCCCACCGTAATTTCTTACCTATCAACTTTACCTGATGCTTTAAGGACAAACTGTCTACAGCTTATAGCTGTTACAGGTTTTAACAGAAAGATGTGAGGGAAATCCCCCTGTATTTGGAAGATCTCTTAGATCCTTGACAACGCTGGCAATTTTAAAGCCTTGTGCTACTGGAAAGAGGACGACTCATACTTGACAGTCACATTGCTTAATATATTCTGAGAAGATGCTCAGATACTCTAGCCATGAAATTGTACATAGCTGGGGATTACCACTAGATCCACTAAAAAAAGTAAAGGAATGAGCAGTTGCACATTTTTCTTTGTGTACTCAGAAAACTTCAGAGCTTTTTTAAAAGCTTCTCTCACTTCTCCCTCCTTTTCTTCTCTTACTCAGAACCAGTGATGACTACATGTGCATCAGGAAGACTGCATGACCACAAACATTACCAGCAACTGCCTTATGGCAGCCAGGCATCCTGAAGAGATGAAAGCAGTAAAAAGCACCCTTCTATCAAACTGGACACCGAGGTATTAACGCCTGGTCTGTTAACACACCATGACTCCCAACCATTCGGTGAAACCTCCTGCACATCCTGCTTTTACCAGGTTTGATGCTTGTAAAGTTTTCCCATATGTAGATGGTTGTGTTGTGAGACAGAGCTCAGACTAGACAGCTCTAACAAAAACTTCCAGGATGGCAATACAGCAAGTTGTTATTTTTCAAAAATCATCAGCCTCAGCAAATTGCTGTAGCTCGTACTGTGAGCTCTGTGGTGTCCAGGACCACCACAGAGATGCCTTCCAACATATGCTGCAGCAAGAAGGCAGTACTACACCACACAACTTACTGAAGTGCTACAGAGCCTGCTTGCACCATCCCACTGAAACCCGTGCATGCCAGAGACAATACTTACCATCGGCACTTATTCATAGCTTTTAATATTGTTGGACTAGAATTTAGATGGTTTAGATTGGGTTTTAGCATGCCTTGGAAGAGCTGCTCCTGCAGACCTCTAAAGACCTTTGTCACCCTTAGGGAATCAGAAAGCTTACTCACTAATTCAAAAAAAGAAGTGGCACAAAAGGTCCAAAGAAGTAAACAAGGAACTTGATAGCAAAAATCCTAGACTTTAGGAACTATTCAGGCAGGCACCTGGGCTGTTACTAGGTCTCAAAAGATTAATTTCACAGCGGCTTTTATTAAATCTTTAGGAAAAAAGCCTGGGGAATTGACACCTTCCAGAAGATATTATCAAAAACGCCAATTTAAATATGCACAGAAAGCTGAATGCTGTATGAATAAAGCCTAAAGACTTAAAAGCCAGCATTTCAGAGAAGATACTCAGCTACAGAGTTCTCACTGATGCTTAAGACAGTAAAACTCATTTTTGTCTGTATCAGTCAGAATGACCGAAGCACATATTTTGTAATAAGAAGTTTCAGACTGCTTTTCAGAATTGAATAATAAAAAAAAAATCTGTCCCAGTTATGAAGTGCAGCCTGGAATGTGGATTACTTCTAAATACATGCATTTTATGCATGACTATTAGATATGTCAAATGAAGCAGGGTGACTTCCTAGCAACTGGGGCACAGATACAAAGCTTCTGGATGTTAGCATTTGAGGATGTGATTGGTACAAATTGTGAAAATACTTAAGAACAGCTTTGCTACGAATTAGATACTATGTAAAAAAGATTAATAGGCCACTCAGATCCAATTGGGGTACAAGATATATTTTTTTTAATTTGTAAAATTATACAGTAATAGCTAAGTGTAAACCAAAAGCTTTGATTCTTTAAAGTTTTACAACTTAACTCAATATACAAAAGAAAATTATATTGATACAGTACTTCATGTGCTTAGCAAACATTCAGGCTTCATGAAAGTTACTCCAGTCCATCTGTAGTTGGAAGATTGTAATTTCTGACCAGTTTAAAGCTGAGTATGGAAGTTTATAAAATGTCTAACTGCTTTCAGATGTTAAATGGGATATACAAAGGAATTGCTTTCTAAATGAACAATTCTACTAGTATAACCACCACAATCTGGTTTTGCTGTAAGCACATCACTAGCATGTATCAAGTACCAAAAGGGGTAAGCACAGTTAAAAAGCACAAAGCTTTTTCAAGTTAAAAAAAACCAAACAAAACAACCCCCCAAAACCCCAAAAAGAAACAACCACATGCACACACAGATCAGGGAGAAGTGCTTTAAACAGTCTCCATCCAGGAATCTCTGTACTTGTATCTCTACAATTTGATAAAAAAAAAAAAATACCTTCTTCCATATTTTACTAGGAAAACTGCACTGTAAAGTTAATCATATCCTCAGTGACTCTGGGGAAAAATCCCTGCTGTCAAAAATTCACCTTTTTTGGAGGATGGATGACTGCAGAGTTAATGCTTATTTTCAATTAACTGTGAGTATCTATTTGAAGTCCCTGTTTAAACACGGAATTCGGGTTTTATACTTCATATAATGTAATTACGCTTTGCAATATTTTATAATTTTAAAAAGTCTTTGACAATCCAGAGTTTACATTTTCAGTATTTATTATGAATCACATTCACAGTGCAATACAAATGACATAAAAAGCTATACAACAAACATACAAAGACTACATGAAGCACGTACCATTCCATAACACGTACAATACCTGATGCTTAGGCTACAAGTGTTTTTAACACCTGTTAACAAGAAATTGAAGTCAAAAGATAAATAATTGGATTGAGAAACTCCTTCATTATTCAGGCTTTTTTTTTTTTAATTAAAAACTCTTTATATTGGTAACCAGGCTATAAATGTAAAAATAATAAAAAAAAATGCAACACTGCTCTTTCCTACCATGTAGAAAAGTTTTTCTGCTGTTTCAAGCCTAGATTAATTTTCAGTTAATCATTCTGTCCTCCAGCAAAAGTAGTTACAAAAATCAATTTAGCACTTTTTTTTTTCCAGAGCAGGTTGATGATACAAAAAATAAACTATAAACATACATATAATCATGTGTCAGCGTATAAGTTTGGAAATGTTATGTGTAAAAGGTTAGAGACCAAGAAGGTCCAATATACACACTGCTTAGATAAATCACACGATGACATTTCTGAAGTAATTGTCCATACCAGAAAAATACATTTGCTGTATATATCGAGAATAATTCCTGCAAACGTTCATAGATTAGCTGCATTATTACTTTGGAGACCGATCTAAGATTTCTAGCTGTTTTCACAGCCTCTCCTCACACATATGAAAAAAATTCTGGCTGGCTAAGTGCAAATAAGTGACAATTTCCACCACCAGTCAGATTCTGGTGGCAGTTTGTTTTTATTTGACAAAGCGAAATAAAACCATTCACAAAAGTGACATTTTTCTTACCTTCAGTACACTAATGGTTTAGTGACTTCAGGAGATACTCTTCCTTATTTAATCCATGCATAACTTTAACAAGAGGTCCTAAGGACATATTCTCGATATATAGCTTAAACTAAGGGCAAGCATTTGCCTAGTAGCGACAAAATGACAGCTCAGAACACCTCTCAGGCATGACAGAATCATGAGTTTCAGGGGAACAGATTCTTTCCTGTGCTAATTCAAAAAAAATGAGGAAGAGATGTGTTTTTAGCCACCCACTTTTGGAGCTCCAGAGCTGTGAAACTGATGAGTCGAGACTCATATTCAGTTAAGATGCACAAGATCTTCCCTATTGACAGATGAGCATAAGAAGGAAATTACTGCTTTAGCACCTCAGCACAGCCCCAGTCCATTCAATGGATTGCAAAGGCTACATAAACTGGCAAGCCACTATTTTCATTAAGAAATTTGGTTTTGTACATCTGCATGCACAAACTGTTCAAGTATTAGAGGGCTTGTAAACCTGGCCATAAGCTTTAAGTTTGTATAGAAAAATCAGCAAGAATGTAATATGCAAAAAAATAAATCAATCATGTATTTAATATCCATATAGATCTGCATTGTAATATGCATTATGTAGCAATAAGCGTCCTTACTGACCACTATTAAAATGCATCTCCCAAAATGCTAGTAGCACTTCTTTGGTCTGTTTTTAGAATTAATCCAAAATAAACCCTACAGCAGCGTGTAGTACTTTACAGCCAAATTTTCCATACTACTACTACCGAGTGTAAAACCTTGCTCCTGGGGTCTAGCAAGGAAGAGGCTTTTAAATGCCATCAGAGACCTTCTCTTGCCCCTGGTTGCTGTATGTTCCTTCTAGCAAACAACATGGTGCCAGAGACTTATTGCTTCGAGTCCAAGGAAACCTCACGAATGTCCCATACATGATTTGGGAATATTGGAGGCAGCTGTATCACCAGAGAGCCTGGGTGGAGCTTGGAGCATCTTCAGCAGAGCCCTCATGCTCAGAACTCACCTCGGAGCAGAAGAGCCTGGCAAGTGCTCACTTACCAGACTGCTGTTAATGACAAGCCTCAGCATAAATGCTGCTGCAAACAACTTTATTCAAAAGAGATGCTGAAGAAGAAGAATAAGCCAGATGTACATTTTATAAGTCAGGCACTGCTTCTGAAAGCATGCTATAAGGAGAATTCATTTCAGACTAGGCTTTCAGAAAAAGTCAATGACTACAGCTTCCTCCCTGGCCCCCAGTGAAGACAAATTTGCATGTGGGAAAGTTTTGAACAGTGAGTTTCACATAAACGCACTTTCTAAACAACGTGTCCGAGTTAAAGATAACAATTACTACTGCATCAAATTGGGATCAGCACTGCACTTTTCAAATATGTTTTACCATTAGATGTCGAAAAGAAACATTCAAGTGTCAATAGAAGTTTAGAAATCACTGTAAAAAGTTAGTAGAAAACCTCCATTGTTTCTGGAGTCAAAATACAAGTTTCAAACACAACGCATATGGGGAGCTGTGCCATTTACTCCAGTTCAGGAAATACGGTATTAAAACCACCAAAAAGCTTTATAAAAGGGATATATGAGAAATACAAAACCAAGTGACAAAACTCAGATACCACCGCAATATTCAAGCCAAGTGACATCCAAGTGCCAAGACAAACCGTACGTGAACACCTTCATGTTAAACTTCACATTCCCATCTGCATGTCGGCAAAGTTGTAGAAATTGTCTACATCTTGAGACGCCGATGCCTTGCTCTCCGATACAAAAACCTGTTTTAGTAAACAAAGAAATAGTTATGCACCACTAATAAAGAAGTTCAAGTAGTCTTTGCTCATTCGGAGCCAGTAACGGTTATTTTTACTTTTGCATTTCATGAGAGGCACAACTCTGCCGGTTTCCACTGCGTGACAGAATAGCCCTAAAATTCCACTGATGAGAATTAAAATTTTTGGGCTCCATTACTCAGGCATCACTGCTTCAGCCAGTGTCTGTTTAGATGTATTTTGCTTGGTAAAGTCAAACTCTGTCCGGGGCAGGGAGTGTATGAAGGAAACAAACACACAGAAACCTTACGCTACCATTAAGCTTGCCTTTAACAGAAAAGCAGAATTCATAAGAAAGAGTCCCTTGCACTATATTCCCCTAAAAAACCGTAGTTGCTTCTTCATCAGATGTTTTGGGTTTTTTTTAAATAACTTCAATTACATTTGCATTTTGCAAAACTGATCAACGCGTGTGAAATTCCAAGCTCCAGGACAGTCATCTTTGCAAGCTTTCAGCAAATCAACTAAAAATGCCTTAGGCAATGCCAGATTAGTTCAGTGTAACAGAAAGTGTGGTGGCTCTTCATCAATCTCAACAAGCAAGCGATAGCCTCAATCAAAAACTTAAATCGAGTTCTTACTATCTTGTATTTTCTATACCCCAAGAGGAAATTATCACTGTCTCAGCACATCAGAATAGCTTGGCTGGCTGTGCCAACACTGAAGTGCACTGGGACTGTAGGAAGTAAAGTCAAACTCTGTCCGGGGCAGGGAGTGTATGAAGGAAACAAACACACAGAAACCTTACGCTACCATTAAGCTTGCCTTTAACAGAAAAGCAGAATTCATAAGAAAGAGTCCCTTGCACTATATTCCCCTAAAAAACCGTAGTTGCTTCTTCATCAGATGTTTTGGGTTTTTTTTAAATAACTTCAATTATATTTGCATTTTGCAAAACTGATCAACGCGTGTGAAATTCCAAGCTCCAGGACAGTCATCTTTGCAAGCTTTCAGCAAATCAACTAAAAATGCCTTAGGCAATGCCAGATTAGTTCAGTGTAACAGAAAGTGTGGTGGCTGTTCATCAATCTCAACATGCAAGCGATAGCCTCAATCAAAAACTTAAATCGAGTTCTTACTATCTTGTATTTTCTATACCCCAAGAGGAAATTATCACTGTCTCAGCACATCAGAATAACTTGGCTGGCTGTGCCAACACTGAAGTGCACTGGGTTATTCCAGATGACTATGCTCCTTTAGACACCACTTTTCTGCCTCAGCTCAGAATACCTTTGTAAACTTTGCTCCTTGATTTGGTTTACTTAAACTTTTTTCAAGATGAGTATTCTATTGTCCAGTAAATTTCTGATTAAAAAAAATAAATACTATAAAGTGAGTAGTTTCCTAGACTGTTGCTTGAAGACATGGTAGACTTCTGTTTGAAAGGACTTGAGAACATATACTAATTATGTGACAGTTCTTTGGAGCAACAGGGATTGGCACCATGGTCACAACTGAATACCTTCTTTCAGCATCATAGAATGGTTTGGGTTGGAAGGGACCTTAAAGATCATCAAGTTCCCACCCCCTGCCATGGGCAGGGACACCTCCCACTAGAGCAGGTTGCTCAGAGCCCCATCCAGCGTGGTATTAAGCACCTTCAGGGATGGCCAGGTTGCTCAGAGCCCCATCCAGCCTGGTATTAAGCACCTTCAGGGATGGGGCATCCACAACTTCCCTGGGCAACCTGTTCCAGTGTCTCACCACCCTCAGAGTAGAGAATTTCTTTCTAGTATCTAATCTAAATCTCTCCTCTTTCAGTTTAAAACCATTATCCCTCATCCTATCACACTCTCTGATAAAGAGTCCCTCTACAGCTCTCCTGTAGGCTCCCTTTAGGTACTAGAAGGCCTAAGGTACAAGGTCTCCCCTTGTCTTCCTAGTATCTAATCTAAATCTCTCCTCTTTCAGTTTAAAACCATTATCCCTCATCCTATCACACTCTCTGATAAAGAGTCCCTCTACAGCTCTCCTGTAGGCTCCCTTTAGGTATTAGAAGGCTGTTACAAGGTCTCCCCAAAGCCTTCTCTGCTCCAAGCTGAACAACCCCAGCTCTCTCAGCCTGTCTTCACAGGAGAGATGCCCCAGCCCTCCAATCATTTTTGTGGCCCTCTGCTGATCCCGTTCCAACAGGTCTATGTCCTTCCTGTGTTGAGGACTCCACCCAGGATATTACAATTTAAATTTTGCAGAGTATTTTACAAATAAGTGATGAGACGGAGGAACAATACTAGAAAGCACACCAAAAGAGTGCAGAAAGGTCACACCAGAAAGAATGTCAGAGGAAAAGAGCGTAAACATACAAAGTTCACACAAATAGGAAGTCTGCTTAAATGCACAGCACAGAGCTCTCCTTGTTTCTACCAAACAACTCAAAAAGTTCTGGTGGTGCTATTGCTGAAGAACTTTTCCAGCTCTCCTTGTTTCTACCAAACAACTCAAAGTTCTGGTGGTGCTATTACTGAAGAACTTTTCTGCCCTTACTAAAATATCTAGACTTGTCTATCAGATTTATTTCAGGAAAAAAAAAACAACTGGTGAAATTAAGGCTATTAACAGATTAAATTAATCATTTTTAACTGTGGTTTTTAAATGCAAATGTAGCCACTTGCTTAAAAGCAGATTAGTCTCCTGAAAAGTCTTATAGGATACATGTCTTACTAAGAGCTTTCGTCATTGTTTCTATCCTATCAAGGATACCTATAATTCTTTCTGAGCACTATAACAACTCTCAAACACGATAAGGGCAGCCAACAATGAGGCGAAACCATCCTACAGAGCATTCCTGAACCTTCTGGCAGTAATAAGTCTGAAGTTTGTTACTCCCTAAATTGCTTCTAAACTATGTCCCAAGAAAGAAATACATTTTCTAAAAAAATGTAGATTCATGATATTCAATTGTGTAGGAATCCATGCACAAACCCAGAAGTTTTATAGCTACATTTTATCTAAAAAAAGCCAGCCCTCCCTAAATTGCTTCTAAACTATGTCCCAAGCAAGAAATACATTTCCTAAAAAAATGTAGATTCATGATATTGAATTGTGTAGGGATCCATAACCCAGAAGTTTTAGAGCTACATTTTATCTAAAAAAAGGAAGCCCTTTCTCAGGAAGCCCTGCTTCTTAATTCACTGCAGCAAGTATTTAATAATTGAGGAAGGTTTTACTATGGAACCAGGCTGTAAACAGAAATTTTAAATCCAAATGCAGTAAGTAGTTTCATATTTGAAACTGAACCCAAACACTACAGATCACGTCCAAGAACAACGCTTACTTCACAGCATGAAGTACACACTGAGGTTTCTGGATGCATCTGAGATCAGAGCATTCGTAGTGTTGTAACAACAGACACCAGTCATTTTAATGAGGAAAATATAAAATTTTATTTGTTCTAATAATTCATATCACTTCAGCCTTTGAATAGAGAAAAAGATGTAGAACCAGTGAATTACCTGCCCAGTGTTGTCTTTGTTCTTCATGGAAAAAAAATATGCTAACTAAAGAAAGCCACTGTAAGTTCCTGCTTAAAGAGGCCATTTTTATGGTAAAATTTACAGTGACGACTTTTGGGTCAAAAGAAGAATCAGTAGTATCACAACACTGCCCAGACTGTAGTTGTAGCGTTCTTTAGACTCAGGGAGCCATTAGGATCTTGCTGGTGCAGCAGGAAACACCAAAAAAGCCAAACATTAGCTGCATGAGAAAAAGATGTAGAACCAGTGAATTACCTACCCAGTGTTGTCTTTGTTCTTTATGGGAAAAAAATATGTTAACTAAACTAAAGAAAGCCACTAAGTTCCTGCTTAAAGAGGCCATTTTTATGGTAAAATTTACAGTGACGACTTTTGGGTCAAAAGAAGAATCAGTAGTATCACAACACTGCCCAGACTGTAGTTGTAGCGTTCTTTAGACTCAGGGAGCCATTAGGATCTTGCTGGTGCAGCAGGAAACACCAAAAAAGCCAAACATTAGCTGCATTTGAGATGGCTTATTACAAGATGACTGTTTTCCAGAAACTGGGCCGTCTAGTTCCGAGTAATACTTTCAAAAGTATTACTGAACTGAAAGACAACATGGAGTTGTATGGACACTATGTCTCAAAGACATTCTAGTCATCTTTGAACAGCTGCTTAAAAGCAAAGGGTTTGTCACCCCTTCACTATCAAGAGTGATTGTTTCCAGAAACTTTCTCAAAACCATTGCCGTTCAGAGAAATGGGGACAGCAAGCAAAGAGGAGGTGTGGTGTGAAGAAGCTACAGTAAAATAAGCTGACAGAAGAAAAAAGCAAAATGCCTTTGAAGAAAAGCATTCTACAATATCCAACACAGCAAAAGTAAACCTTGAAAAATTTGAAATCCCATATTATCTTTGTCAGGGTTTAATAGACTAGGACATCACAAAGCAGACTTCAGTATACGACTTGGAGCGGAGCTTTTCCCTACTATATTTATACAACTTGTTTTTACTGTCATGTGAAATCGAAGTTTTAAGTGGAAATCTATTCTTCAACGTGTATAAGGATTTAGTACTCTTTTTCCTTGGGCAATTTTTCTTGTATCCAAAAAACAACTTGAGGTTTGAGTACAAATAAACCCAAACCAAAAAAAAAAAATAGGATATTCAGATACTTAAAAAGATCATTTAGTACATCAATGCTCCAGCTGACTATGAAGTACCTTAGTCTTTCTGTAATGTTTTCTGTCAATAAAGCAATACACCAGCTTACCTTGGTCCCACTAAAAACATCATTTATAGTGCTTCGACATGCTTCCACAGCACCATCTCCATTGAACTCCAAAGCAACCACTGGACCTAGAAGATAGTTTCACCTAGAATCAATACGACTTCCAAGCTTGGCATTGAAACAGTAGATTTCTCAACCCAGAGGGAATTGTGAAGCTTGCAAGAAGCATTTTGCGGCTTTTGCTTCAGCAGCCATAATGCAGGATAAAGAATTAAAAACACTTAACCATAGCTTCAAAGTACAGTGTTATCTGCGAAGAAAATATCTGCAATTCCATGCTCATTTTTGCAGAGACTCTGGCAGGATTCCAGGTTTACTTCTTGAAAGGCAGCAATGGCACAAAAATGGTAAGGAGCGCGGGGCATCATGGAAGTGAGTCAGACGATACTGCTCAAATAGTGAGCCATTTCACAGACATCTGGAGTAGGACTGAGTCATTTGGGCATTTTTGCCTCAGTCCCAAGATAGCAAACTGCCTGATTTTTAGACTTCTTCTCACCCACTGTTTGCAGATCCCCTTTTTCTGGTTTTGTTCTGAACACGTTATTTCTTCCCACACGGGTGCAAAATAGCCTTTAAACCAGACTGCCATCTTGTAAGCTCAAGAACTTTTGGCCTATTCTTGCAGTGAGCATCGTAGACCTCTTTTGTTACTATGAAAAAAAAACCCTGCATGTTGCTACTGAATTTGGGAGCTCCTATTGAGCTTTAGCATGTAACAGATGGCAAGATGTCAGTACTTCTGCAGGAAGAGACAAAACCCCATTACAGTCAGATCAATAAAAAGGCTTTTGAAATACTCTGACAGTACATCAGTTATAAACAGGAATTTAACACTCGCCTGCTTTATACACATCTATACTGATTTGCTTAAATATCTATACAGAAACACTGAACACCTAGGTGTTTGAGCACCAATGGTGATAACTCAGAAATCTAAAAGCATGAGCTTCTTTTGAGCATCCCAGACAGACCTACATGTGACACTGCTCTTGAGCTACGTGGTTGGACCACTAGAGGGGAGGCAGAGCCACAATGTGGAATAGCTCATTTCTGATGTCTTCAGGAGTTTTGGCTGGTTTAAGGCCTGACTGAGGCTTCCAAACCTCATCTCAGCTGGCTTTACGCTATGCTCTTGAAACATAAATTCCTCCTTCATTCCTCTTCTCCAGAACCCCCTAGTGACAGCTAGACTTCTTGATATAGAAGAGAAATAAAACACCACAAACTCACCTTTTTCAAGTAGTGGAATGAATTCTGATGCACACTGCTGGAAAACTCTGTGAGCATCCTCTGCCTTCATTGAGACTTCTTTAGTCTGTACCAGCTGAAAGCCTTTGCCCGTCATCTGTTAGCAGAGAAAGAATTCATGTTAAAAACAATTCTAAGGCACAGAGTTTGGCTCAAGCACCCAGGTGACAGTGGAATACACCCATTTTCCTCATACACATTGAGCCACAGAGCAAAGGGACCCTCTTTGCTCTTTTCAAAGACCATTTGCTTTTTCTACGTTTCTGTTTATTTTCATTCCATTCATCCAGATTTTCTTCTCTGCCCTAGTGTACCTAGAGGTGTAAATGTGAACATTTTTGTTTTATATGATGGCCCAGGGTTGTGGGTTTTTTCCCCACAATCCTTCACAAGCCAAAACTAATGGGAGTTAAAAGTATTCAGCATCTGGAGTCAAACAGTTAGTTCTCATTAGTCTGCAACCATTCAGTCAAGCATGAGCTCAAACTCTCTTCTATCCATTGGTGGAGTTTTCCATTTTGGAAAAAAAAGTCACAAACTTTCCAACACACACAGCTTTTTACTTCAAATCTAATAGGAAGCTAAAAGCATGTGGAGAAGGAGCAACTGTATTTGTACTTCCAAAGCATCTATTAATCTACAGAGCAGTAAGATTTCCACAAATCTCAATAACTAGTCTTTCAGCATCTTCTTAACTCTAACTTCTAAAGAGCTACTAACACAGGAGAAGACATCTGTTATCCTCTTTACTGTAGCTATTCCTTCTGCAGAAAAAAACAACCCATAAGTATCATTATCTCCCTTCACTCAAGTAGCTTTAGTAGCTCAGTTCCATAAAGACACAACTGGGCAGTGAAAGGGTGGGGAGCATGGGAACACCCTACAGCTGTCTTTCCTTGCAGTTAAAAACTCAGGGGAAGGAGCTCCACTGGTTGTTTTGTTGATCACACAACACTGGGATCTTTTGCAGATAACTCTCTCAGAAGCTGTAGCTCATGGTTACTGGCTCTGCTCTGTCATCCCTGGCACTCCAGGGTGCTTAAAGCAGCCAGCCACTCCCAGATTTTAACCCCAGGAAAGCCCAAACTCAGCCAAGCTTAGGAGCTGCTGCCTCACAAAGGGGAAAAAATAATAATAAAAAAATAATACAGCACCAGCTATTTAAGTAATCAAAGACAGCTGATCATCTGTGACAAACACTCATTGCCTCTTCCAAAAAAAATTTACAATACTGGGTGGCAAGGGGCTTACGTTTTAACTTTTTTTTTTTTTTAAAATCTTTGTTAGTGCTGGAAAAACTTTCAGGACAGACTGTTTTATTCGCTGTGACTTTCAGGGCCATCAGCTAACAAGTTAATTGGCTGTATCCCTCTCACAAGCATTGCCAATGACTTCCTCCAAGTTTGGCCAAGTTCATCAAATCAACTACGTGCTTTCTTCAGAAAGTAGTTTTGGTGTGCCATGGTAGAAAAATGCACTGGAACTGCTGAAGGACAGGTGCACCAGTCACAGGACTTCAGCTGTAAAATAACTGTCTGACCAGATGAGCTTCAGCCTCTTACCTTATTTTAAGGTTTTAAACACTGCAGTTGCTTGGTACAGTTAATAGACAAGCAGAGCCTCTTCATTCCCCCTTCAGGGAGAACCAGAGACAATCCAGAGGGAAGTTCAATTAGAAATTTAAAAAGCTGAAGGCAGACAAAGGTCACTTACCTCATCAATTAACTTCCTGGCATTTGCAGTTGTGTAGTCACCAGCAAAAAACACAGCCAAACACGATTCATCGCTGCTTTTCTGTCTCCGTCCTCGAGTTATTGGTATTATGCTCCTCGTAGCATCGGTAGAAATTCTGACAGCTTTCAGCTCCTCAGAGCTGGGCAGAGGAACATAATCTTGTACCATGGCATCCTCGGGCAAAAGACCCCAATTATTTTCTCCTGACACAGGGGTAAAGTCATGGATGTTGCTCCATGTGTTATTGAAGATACTCAGTCCAGCATCTTTAAATTGTAAAGCAAGCTCAGGATAGTAGTACTGGAAGCACCCGAATTTCATACCTGTGGAGGACTCAATAATGGGCTGTGTGGCACAGCACAAGAATACCTCCAGCTTTTTGCAGTCCCGCGTGCGAAACTGTTGGCAGGCCACTATGCATTTACAGTCTTTGCAGTCACGGAAAAACACGCTGCCTTTTATTGGTCCTAAAAAGATTTGGCAGTTTACACAGTCGTCAATAGTGATTGTAGCAGAATGGTCAAATATGTAGATACTACAGTTCTCACAGTCCTGAATGATGAATTGTTGCCCTGCTACTTTTCCAGGCAGCCGACCCACAGTTTCATCTTTAAGTCCGGAAAAAGTGTAATCTTTGGGGTCAACCTGAAGGAGGAAGAAAAAAAAAAGGAACATGAAAGTCTTCACATATAGAGACTATTATAATGCTCAAGGTCAACAGCCTTGCATTAACTGAGGTAGCACTGAACTGTACAGGATAACCTGCCAGAAAACTTCAAAGAGTGATGAAAGATCAGAAGAAGCTTTTTTAGGTAAATTACTGGAATGCACAGTATTGAGGTACTAATGTACTATTGGGGTACACTTCTAAGATGCTGCAGGGAAAAAAAACCAACACAAAACTAACTCAGTTTGGGTAAGGGGAGCTAATCTTCTCTGTGGACTCTGAACTGTTTCAACAAAGATGATGGTCCTGGGTATTATGGTACTAACTGTAATAAAAGAATTGGCCAACATACTTAAAGATTCATAAAGCTAGAGATACACAGTATTTCCTTTCCAAGTAGCTTGCTTGGTCGTATTTTACCACAACTCAACAGGTTGCAAGGAAACTGCTTGAAAGCAGCAAGGTACCTCCTTTATTGTGTCTGCCAACTACCAAGAGCTTGCTTATCTGCGCCACGGCATTACCTTGTGCTGACAACCACAAGATTTTTGTGCTAACAGCAACTACGTGACAACAAGCAAACCTTGGCAGTGCAGGTGCAGGGGGTACGTTTACAGACCTCTCCTCCTCCATGCTCCAGCATCCCCTCGCTGGGGAGGGACACTCAAGAGAGGCTGCGGCTTTTCCACTGGGAAGCAGCGAGCGAAGAGCCACACAACGCCCAGGATGGTATGTGATACAGGTGGACAATGAATAATACAGCCAGTGCTGCTGTTGTAACACTGAAGGAATCTGAGCTGGGTCATTTCTAGATATACATAAGCCTCAAGACAATTATGCTTCCCGGAGCAAATTCTACTCTGCCCTCTTGTGAAAGCTCGTTAAAATAGCACTTAGAAGCATACAAGTACCTGAACTAGTCTAACGCAAGACCACTTCACAAACCTGCTAGTTGATTATCAGCCCGAGGGCCCTAAAGCTTGCTGCACCCTAATTAGTGTTAACGCATCACAGCAGCTTCTGTACAGCCCGATCCGAAGAAACTACTCCTCCTCAGCATTTCAAACTTCCATATGAGGTTTACGGACCAGAAGAAGGCATAAACCAGGATGGACTAGCACCAGACATCCACTAAACCAGCTCAGCCTAGGTAGCTTTTGTCCGGAACGGCTAATGGAATCTAAAAGTCTCTTCCAATTAATAAAATGTACTCCTTTATATACAACACATCTGACCTCCGGGCAGGAAAGGTTTGCAGCTAATTAATCTTCCAAATAAAATGCAAGTTGAGACAATGACGAGAGCTTTCTAGAAATCTGCCCTCAATCACATTTAATACCACTAGTACACACCCAGGAAAGTTAGTTGGAAGAGTTACAAATAAAATCAGGAGGCTCAAATGATAAGGCACACAGCACAGAGACTCAGCCATGCAATATGATTAGGGTTTAAACCCTCTAAAGGTATTAAGTTTCATGTAATTTTACACATTTGATCCACATATTAAAGCAACTGATATTCTCTCATACTTGAGAACAGAAGTTTCAAAATTGCTTTTGGACACGTTCTTCCCAGAACGTGTATATGTATGTGTATATATATGGTGGGGTTTTTTAATAACCTTGGGAGACAGGTTTACTGCCTTCAAAACAGGGTACAGAGGAACAGTTACTTCTCTTAGGAAGGAGAAGTTCAAAGTTTCCAGAACTTACAGCTTTTTTGAAAGTTGGTACCGAGGCACGCCCTTCTCAATTGCTCTGCTCTAAAAAGCCTGTGAAGCAGCACTAGGTCATCCTACACTGAGGCTTTTACAGAGATGTGTGAAAACTTCAACTTCACCTTGCAATTTTATTTAGCCTAGGTGAAAAATTATGGTTAGTCAGATAACCCACAGTTTACAGACAGTTTCAAATGAGAGGACTTGAGAAAGAGTAGTAGTTGAGTTTAATGATAAAAAAAGTCAGCTTATTACCAGATTCAGGAGATGAATTTTATTTCCCTGATGTGAATTAGGAGTTCTACACTGACGCAACTCTTACTTCTCAGTTTCCTCATGATGTTAGGGAGTTTGCCAATTTCCGTTATTTTTGCTTTGCAGCTTTCTTTTTCAAGGCCAAGAGTATTTATTAACTAACACTGCTTTACAAATTAGAAGGACTGTAAATAGATTTAACACACTCTTTCCCACCAGGTTATTGCCCCGAGGGGTGGGGGGAGGCACGCAACCCAAGAGACTGTAGCAGATCAGAATGCTTCACTTCCTCTGGGTAAAAGAAACACAAAGGCAGAACCACAGTTTTGAGGATGCATCCAACAGCTGCTAATATGCTCATTGAGGAGTTTCATGCTTACCAGCACTGAAGTCTGCAGCTATCATCAACAGGTTAATTTTAAATCACTGCATCCACCTTCCTTTTTCTGACATTCAGCATTAACTGCTTCTTAAGCTCTGCCTTGGCAACTTAGCGAAAAAGCAGACTAGGAAAACCAAAAGCAACAGAAGATGGTAACATCTGCAGCCTCATGCAACCATAACCAGGGTCACATAGATTTCTCTGTCCATTTCTCTGGTGCAACTTCTGCTGTAAAGTCTTAAGCACATGGCAGGTCAGCAAAAATCCACTGCTTGATAACTCATCTATTTATCCTTTGCGTTTGGATAAAGCTTCAAAGAACTTTGTCCAAATTCACCCACCTCACCCAGACAGATGTTTTACTCTCCATCCCTTAATACATTTTTTAAATGTCTTTTTTTTTCCTCCCAGGCCAGTGTAAGTCCATATAACGACAGCATTTATAGAGGCAACTTTTAACACTTTCAGCTGAATTTAAAGAGTTTTTGGAGTAGATACGAGTCATGCATTAATAGATACGAACACAGCTGAAGAGTTGAAACTTTTTAACAGAAACGCTATGTGCAGGTTCAGAAAGTACTCCATATAGTGTCCTAAAATAACCAGCTATGATGAAGAAATTGTAATCCCTGCTTACACAATTTTCTTCCCCCTCAACAGAGGTACAGAAGTCTCATCTTGAGTTACCAGCAATGACATCAGTGATAAGTCTGCTACAAGGGACTGGAGGACGAACTGTAAGGAGCAGGAATTTTAAAGAACAAAGAAAGGAGAGAAGGCAAAAAGAAGTTTGTCACAATTACTATGAACGCTAGGACGTTCTGCTGCAACAAGCACTAGGTGTGTTAAGCAGCTTTCCCTCCTGCTAACACTTGTCTTGCAGGAAGGTCAGAGGCCAGACGTGAAGGCTGCAGATGACTTGCATCTCTTCAGCAACCATTATCCAGTTTGCTGGCACCAAGATTAGGCATCTCCTATTTGGAAAAAGACTTAGAAGTACTAGACCCTCACAGTTTTATTATGCCTAGAATCACCAAGGATCCCAGCAGCTTCTTGAACGCTTTCTGGCACAAGTCCATGTCTTAACAAGACTTTTTTCCACCAGGTCCATCAGGAAAGAAGTTTTAGTCAGCAATGATATGCCAACACAAATATGAGACAGTACTGCTGTTCTTAATGGATTAGGGTTCTCCCCTAGTCACCTGAGTCTAGACTGCTGAGCAAACAATACTTTGTAAAGTCTTTCTAAACCACTTACACTAAGGTCTTCTCTTTTAAATACCACTCTCAAAAAATCATTCCCTGTCTCTCTGAATCACAACAGATGGTGGTTCAGCTATGGACTTATACACAGTCGATGACACACAAGAGTTGGCTGCTGACCCAGTGACATTAAAAGCTGCAGCTATAGGGTAGGGATGCAAACTTAAGAGGCTTTATGTGTTATTTTTGTCAGTAGGGGAATTAACAGAAAGGAAACAAGAAAAGTGCATTCCCAGGCCTAGACACTTCTGCATATTCACACTTGCATGGGATTGGTGCCCTTAAGCACAGAGTTGCAACATCCTCTGGAGACTGTTGAAGTTATTCACCTCTGGCAGATTTCTAGACTCTTAGGCAACAAGAAAAGGTGTAAAGAGTGACAACATGTACAGGTTCCAGTCACTATCATACATTTTTTCATCTTGGAGCATCTCCTGTGCACCTTCACTTTAAATGTGGCCAATACAACACGCTGAATGCACATTTGATTCTATTCTTTATAATTCTCCCTTTGTTCCAGAGTTCCCATAATAGCATAAAACGGTCATTCTCATCCTTTTCTGAGCAACAAACCATTGCCAAATACAGCAGATTGGAGAAGAGGAAGAAGAAGAAAGGAAGCTACTACACGCCTACATCCGACTTAAATGGAAATATTGTTTAATATGAACTTGCTGTCTCTTTTTCAGTTGATAGACTACATTTTGAGAAATACAACAGTAGTTCTTCTGGTGCACTCAGAAGCATAAGGGAGATGCACAAGGACAAAATATTTCACTATCTAGTCTGGGGAAAAAAAAACAAAGTGACTTTATTTATATTTCAAAATAAAATATAAAGTGGCTACCTAAACAGCATCTAGATGTCATTTAGATATCTAGATCAGCTTACATCATTCTAGCAGAATCCTCAAACGTAAGGTAGCTAACAAAAGACCATCTATGATGTATGTAGAAAGTTACACCTCTGAGGATTTTTTTTTTAAACTGTTTGAATATAGCCATCACAACCCAATATAACAATGATAACTGTGTGCTTCCTATCAACTAGAGCAGTTAAGTTGCTAGTCCACTGACAGAAACCAAAACCTTACTTGTTCCTTCTAAAAGGAAAAAAAAAAAAAAAAATCACCTGGGAAGGAAAGTCCCTCTAAACTTTAAATGCCATTGCGATCGTAATTAATCTAATCCTACTTCTTTAAACATGAGACAACAACAAAAAAGATGACACAAATTTTTGCTACTTCTCCTGTAGAGAAGCCACAGCATATGGGTATATCTGCCATCACAAGGCACAAAGCCCCGGTGAATATTTACCCATATTCAGTTACTGCTGATCACTCTGGTCACACACGTAAACAATGTTAGTCACACAGAAGGTAGTAAGGTAGAAGAGGAAGAGTGAGGTCGGGAGCAGAAATACAATCTTACACACCATCTGGAAACCTAGCTGAAGAAGGCTGAGAGGGCCAAGCATCACCAAGATCACCTCTCCCACACTTGGTGAGAAGGGGACTCTGATGACAGCCCAATGACATCAACACATGACAAGTCCCCAGGATGCAGTGCAGCAATAACAGGCTCTAATAAACTGTGCTATACTTATTCTGCTGGACTAAGAATCCCAGAGCAGCAAGAAACCAAACACTCATCTCTTTACAAGATAAGCTGATCCTTTGATTCTTCTGTTGCACAGTACGTAATCCTCACACAGCCCTCCAAACTCAAGGGTCAGGAAGCATTACAGAGATCCCAGCAGACTTGTGATGCAAGCTAAACGTCATTAATTTTTGCATACCTTAAAAACATAAGAATTCTGTCATCACTTAAGTGGGAAATCTGTAGAAATCTGAAAAGGCCCCTCAAATCCATATACTTTCCTTAATTTCAATTCAACTATCAGCATCTTCTAGTATTTGGAGTTTTCTACCACACAGTCCATTTTTGGGACTATTATAAAAGAGTTACATGGTTAGTAGGATATTGCCATATTACTTTTTGGCTAGGTCTGTACCAGCAGACAGTGCCAATACTCATCATCTTTTGCCACCAGAACACGATTAAAATAGATTACACTAACAGTGCTGTCCTTCAGAAGCAGAAGAAATAGTTTCGCTGGAGGAACTCCTCAGGTTCAGAGCTTCTTCCAGCACAGCTGTCAGCTAGCAAGCACCTCTTTTCACATCCCTAATCAAGCATGCACAGTAAGAGTGTCAGCATGGCATTAGCTTACAAGATGACAGCTGGAGAGTCTGAGCAGCAACTTACCCACCTGTAAGAACATACAGAGGAGAGCTTACAAGAAAGAGCTGCAGACAATTGCCAAACCTGCTTGCAGAACTGCACTATATAGCCAAAACTGCATCACCAAGTAGAAGAACCTAGAATTAGAAACACCCTCAACCCAAGTAGTGCACGGACACAGGTAAAACAGGACACATGTAAAAGTAACAGGAAACTAACATCAAAAGACTACACATCTGTTGACAGAGTTGAGGTTTTCTGAGTTCAGTATACAATTCTGAACTTTTTTTTCTGAACGAACAAATGAACTTTCAACTTCTGTTTAACTTCAGAATGAACACGTGAACTTTTTGTTCATCATTTGATGAACAAAAAAAGAGTCTCGATGCCACAAGTTTTCTGACTGGCTTCAATCTAACTTTGTGTACAAATGGTGAAATAAGAGTAATATACACAATGCATCAGAAATGAGAAAGCAATAGGCAACAGGATAACGTATCAGAGACGATACTTAAGGCTACTACATTAACACTGACTTAGTATCATTTAATACAAACTTGGGACCAACAAGTTTGGTGTGCTGGGTATTCCTTCACCTAAGATCAGGTGTCTCAGTACCACTTCCTTGGTTTAATGTACTAAGCACACATCCAAATGCCCAATGGAAGGTAAAGCTCCAAAGAGCAAGAGAAATGGGCTTAAATGTTAGATAGCTGTTCTTGAGCTGTGCAGTACAAAATTAAGCAGCTAACCTGATGGCTTCTGCAGTTCAGCAGCACAGCCCAAACTCACCGATTCTTCTGGTTTCTAAGAGTCTTTTATAGAAAAGGAGGAAGTTGTTGTACACGCAATACCTTACATGCTTTTTTTTTTTTTCTCCACAGTTGATTGTTGGTGCTTTAATAACCTCATCTGTTAGCTTGAGCCTACTTACAGCGTGTTAACAACAATCATCTCCTTAGCAACAAGGCTGGCTCCTCTCCGAGGAAAGTGTTTCTCAGACTTTCCTCCTGTTAGTTTTAGAAGTTAGCGCCACATAAGCAGATGGGGTAGAAAGTCTCATATCAGTTGAGCTGCAGCTGATGAATTTCCTCTAAGATTAAATCATGTGATTTCAAACGCTCATTTAGTAATGTACTCCTGTACAGAGCTAAGATTTGTTCTGGTACTCTAAAACAGGCTGTGGGTACAGCCCTCTCCCTGTGAGAATAGGCTCCATTCAAGCAACAAGCTGCCATCCTCCCCTTCCCTCCCCGACGGCTGCACTCCAAATACCCACTCGCAAGTCAGAGCAACAAGCCCAACACAGATCAACCCTCTTTATCCTCAGGAAACTGATTCCTCCAGGCCACGCGCACGCTCTCTAGCTCATCTCCATCTGAGCTTGTCTTAATCTACTTGGAAGACTTAAGGGACACCCTGGAGCACCTGGCTAAGTTTAAAAAAACAAGCAAACCAAGCATTCAAATAAGTTCACACATTTTCTTTTCTATACTTGTAAAATATGGCCTAAAGGTCTGGGGATTTTGTTTGTTAAAACCACAACGATTAAGTTTATGGCCTGCCCCGTTGGCTCCTTCCCCCACCCAAAGGCAGCTGGAGAGGAGGGGAGACCTAGCAGGGCTATGATGTCATGATGCGTTTAGGAAGTGAAACTTGACACGAGGGTGGGGAAGATATATATTTAACCCAGCACCCAAGTGCTCTCCTGCTTGAGACTTTGTGATTGCTGTCAACAGGTCAGGAAACAGCACGGGGCAGGATCTGTCCTCATCTGTCACTTCAGGGACCGATGGGATAGTTCTAGTCTAGCTTCAAAAAAAACCCCCTAAATCAACAACCCACATCCAAAAACCACAACCTAAACAAACAAACAAGAAAACCCCAAACAAAAGCCACCCAACAACCCAAAGAGCCAAGCAGGAAGAATAAACACTATTGACTGTGAGGACACAAGTCCTGGAAGGACACTTGGTCTAGTGGGAGGTGTCCCTGCCCATGGCAGGGGGGTTAGAAGGAGGTGATCTCCAAGTTCCCTTCCAACACCAACCGTTCCATGACTCTAAGCTCCATGCCTTCCCTGAAGGAGGTACCAGGAGCCGGACTCCAGCTCACACAGGCACAAACACCTAACCGCCCCACTAATTGCCACCACAGTCCCATGCTAATTGCTGGGCTGAAGCACGCACCCGGGGGGGGCTCCGAGCTGTACCAGAAATCCCGACGGCGGATGGACAGACAGACAGACGTACCCCCAGGGCGGCTGTGACAGCCAAGCCGATGGCCCCCGCCTGCCTGGAGGCCGCGGTGACAGCCGCCCACAGGCCACGGCCACGCCGTCCCACGCCGGGGCCGCAGCCTCACCGGGCACCGGGGCTCGCACCACCCCCTTGCGCAATCCGAGGCTGCCTGCTAGAATCCTCAGGCTGAATATTAATATTATTTAAGCAAACGCAGCGAGCTGCACGTACCGAGCCGTAACACCGGTACCGGGGGGAGGAAGCGGGGGGAAGCCGAGCTCCCTCCGGTGGTGTGTGTCCCCCCTCCCCGCCGCCCTGCCCCCTTGTCCAGCGGCCGCCGCCCGGCACAGGGGCCCCGCCGCGGCTACAAGCCCCGCACAACCCCGGGGAGGGGGGGGCCGAGAGGGCGAGGCGCTGCCCGAGGAGACACGCCGGTACCGTCGACCCGACCCCAGCCCGGCCGGGGCGGTTACCTTGGCTCGCTGGTCCCAGCTGTACTGTGGCGCCGGTGCCTTCTCCTCACCGCCCGCCGCCTCTTGGCCGTTTCCCGGTGCCGCTTGCTGCTGCTGCTGGCCGCCCTGCGCCGGTTTCCTGCGGCGGGAGAAGAGGCAGCCCATGGCGGTACCGCCGCCGCCGCCGCCCGCCCGGCCCGCGGGGAGAGAGGGGTGGGGAGGGCGGGAGCGCGCGCCGGCACCGCCCCGCCCGCTTCCGGTCCCCCCCCCGCGTCTCCCGGGGAGACGGAGACACTTCCCGCACCGCCGTTACGAAGACTTTTTTTTTTTTTTACCTCAGATTTTACGGATGTGAGCCCGCCGGGGTAAGGCAGAGAGAGGGGAGAGGTGGGGTGAAGGCTGCAGAACTGCTCCTCAGGCTCCGCTGCCCGGCGGCGGGCCCGGCCTCGCCCAGCTGCTCCCCCACTGCACCCCCCACCCCAGAGACACGACCGGGGCAGAAAGGAATCATAGAATCATTCAGGTTGGAAGAGACCCTTGGGATCATCGAGTCCAACCATCTACCCTACTCTACAAAGTCCTCCCCTACACCATATCCCTCAGTACCACATCTAAACGTCCCTTAAACACAGCCAGGGATGGTGACTCAACCACCTCCCTGGGCAGCCTGTTCCAATGCCCAACCACTCTCTCAGTGAGAAATTCCTTCCTAATGTTCAGTCTAAACCTACCGCGTTGGAGCTTGAAGCCGTTCCCTCTCGTTCTGTTGTTAATTACCTGTGAGAAGAGACCAGCCCCAACCTCTCTACAGCGTCCTTTCAAGTAGTTGTAGAGAGGGATGAGGTCTCCCCTCAGCCTCCTCTTCCTCATACTAAACAGTCCCAGCTCCTTCAGCCGCTCTTCATATCATTTGTCTTCCAGGCCCTTCACTAGTTTCGTTGCCCTCCTCTGTACTCGCTCCAGCACCTCGATATCTCTCTTGTATTGAGGTGCCCAAAACTGGACACAATACTCCAGGTGTGGCATCACCAGTGCGGAGTACAGGGGCATGATCACCTCCCTACTTCTGCTGGTCATGGTGTTTTTAATACAAGCCAGAATGCCATTGGCTTTCTTGGCCACCTGGGCACACTGACGGCTCATATTCAGCCGCTTGTCAGTTAGAACCCCCAGGTCTCTTTCCTCCAGGCAGCTTTCCAGCCACACTTCCCCCAGCCTGTAGCGCTGCATGGGGTTGTTGTGGTCCAAGTGCAGAACCCGGCACTTGCCCTTGTTGAAACTCATGCCATTGATAATGGCCCAGTGATCCAATCTATCTAGGTCCCTCTGTAGGGCTTCCCTATCCTCCTGTGAATCAACACCCCTGCTTAACTTGGTGTCATCTGCGAACTTGCTGATGATACACCCTATGTCCTTATCGAGATCATCAATAAAGACATTAAATAGAAATGGTCCTAACACTGAGCCCTGAGGCACACCACTTGTGACCGGCTGCCAGCTGGATTTGAATCCATTGAGCACCACTCTTTGGGACCTTCCAGTCAGCCAGTGCTTGATCCAGCGGATCATATGCTCGTCCAGGCCGTGTGACGCCAGTTTTTCCACCAGATTTGTATGGGGGACAGCGTTGAATGCTTTTTGAAAAACCAGATATACAATATCAACAGCCTTTCCCTCGTCCAATAATCTGGTTATCTTGTCATAGAAGGAGATCAGGTTTGTCTGGCAGGACCTGCCTTCCATAAACCCATGCTGACTAGGCCTGATCCCCTGGTTGCCCCTTATGTGGGTTTTGATGGCATTCAAGATCACCTGCTCCATAAGATGGAAAAGAAGCTCGGGGGTCGAGAGATAAAGCCAAGGGAGATCGCTTTCCTGTTACTGTCACGGGCAAAAAATAAAAAAAAAGACTGGACAGGAAAAAATAATTTAATTTTTTTTGCCAATTAAAACTAGAATGTGATGGGGAGAAACAAAGTCTAAATGAAAACAAGGCCTTCCCCCACCACCGCCCTACTGCTTTCCCTGGATCAGCTTCACCCCTCCATTCCCACCTCCTCTACCCACTGCCCCCCAACTCCAAGCGGTGCAGAGGAGTCACAGCCAGCCCACAGCAGTTCCTCTGTGCTGATCCTTCCTCCTCTCACTCCGCTCCGGCCCGAGTCCTTCTGTGGGCTGCAGTTCTTCAAGATCTGCTCTAGCATGGGCTCTCCACGGCCCACAGTTCTTCCAGGGCATGTCCCCTCTGTCGTGGGGCCTTCCCTGGGCTGTGGCGTGGCTGTCTCCTCCAGAGTGGGGCCTTCTCTGGGCTGTGGTGTGGCTGTCTCCTCCAGTGCGGGATCTTCCCTGGGCTGTGGTGTGGCTGTCTCCTCCAGCACGGGATCTTCTGCAGGGAAATCCCAGTTCTAGCACCTGTAGCACCTCCATTGCTGTCTTCTTCTCTCACCTTGGTGTTCACACTGCTCTTTCTCCTTCCCCGCTCCTCTCTCTGACATTGCTGCGCAGCATTTTTACCCTTTTCTTAAATATGTCTTCCCGGAGGTGCCACTGGTGTCGCTGCGGGCTCCGCCGTGCCCTGTGGTGGATCTGTTGGAGGTGTCTGGAAGTGGCTGTGTCCAGCACAGGGCAGCTCCTGGCCTGTCCTCACAGAGGCCACCCTGGCAGCCCGCTGCTACCAAAACCTGGCCACCTTCACCTGATACATACCCACTTAAAAAATTGTTAGGACATTTTATGTAAACTGAAGGATGGCATTCCTGCTGTAGGAGCAGAAGAAGAAGAAGAGGGGAGAAGCCCTGAAAAAGTAGCTGAGGTGCTCTGCCAATTGAGCAGGCTGAAAGGCTCGCCCAGCTCAGGGCCCTGGGGACAGCAGAAAGGAGGAAGCAAGACACCAGTTGGCCAGAAATGGTTGCTAAGGAAGGGGGTGACTGACTGACACCCTTTTGGGCATCAGCTGTGCTGCGACACCTTACATCTGGGCAGATGTGAAGCTTGTTCTGAGCTTTTGATGCTACAGCCCAAGTCTGCAGCTCAGCCAGCCGTTACCAATGACAACACACGGTACAGCTTTACATCTCAGCGACCACGTGGATTCCCTCTGTGAGCCACCCCTCTGGGCTTCTTGGGCGCTTGCTGGCTGGATCCTGGTCTCTCACCGAGTCTCCTGTGCACCAGCTCTTTCCACGGCATGTCCAGCTAGGCCGGTTGGAGACAGTTTGCAAATGCAGGGAGTCTGACACACCCTCACCTATTTTAGCTCATTCTCTTGAAGTTCTAACAGTCCTGTGTAATTTATACTGATCAGCAAAGTTCTGCAGTCTTTCAGCAACCAGGCTCCTTTTTTCGGTACACCCATTAAAATCCATATAATAATTTTTGATAGAAAGAGTGAAAATAACACTTGTTACATTGTTGCTAAAAACCATTTAATTAATCTACGCAAAACCTAAAACTACATTGCCAGAACATCGTTACCTCACACTAATGGATTATCTGTCATAACAGAGGACTTCATAGTCTGTGTGTGTAAAGAGACTTCTTCCCCTACTGAAATGCAGCCCACTCTACAATGGAAGTACTTCATCGCTGATGCCAGTAATACTTCACAAAGGTATTTAAACACAAGAAAATAACTCTTACATTTCTAATGAGCAGATGCAAGGCAAATGCAAGTTCCTGAGTTGGGATTTTTCCATGCTGCCATGACCAACATACTTGTCTTGCAAAATCATCAGTCCCATAAAAATAGAGGATTTTTATATGGCTACAGCTGATCAGGACAGGCCATAGGTTTTATCTGTCACAACACCACCTCTCAAGCTCCAGGGTGTTTCCCAACACCAAAGCACCAGAATATTTATCCCAGACCAAATTAACATGACTTGTGATTTATGAGCACATGGCTTCTTAAGAAATTGCAAATGCCTAGTTCAGTTCTTCATTCTCTATTCATATGCCAGCCAGACCCAACCCTCTTGGCTTCTGAGATTTGATACAATCATAGCCCGAAGTGTAGTAATACAAGATTGCAATAATATCATAGTGACTACCAACCATTATTATACTTACTTTAATTTCAACAAACTGCTGTAATTAGTGATTTCCCTCACGGGGATGTTGTGAAATATATCTAATTACAGTCTAATACAGAGCTTTGTGATCCCCAGTCGGTAGTTTCTAGGTAACTGAAAAAGAAAACATTTTCATTGTAGAGGTGATATTCTGAAGGATTCGGTGAAAGACACTTGCCATAACCATACCTTTTGGGCACACACGGCTCGCAAGGAGCCTTTCAGACCTTCACTGTCCATCCCAGGAGGGCAGTGATTCTGTTTCAGCAGGAGAGAAGCCCCTCTCAGGCAGATGGGCAAAGGGTGTGTGTGGGCTGTGTCCCTGCACGGGCTGGCTTTTATCTCCACGTAGCTTTGCAGTGACTGCTTACCTGTAGGAGAGAGGATGCTAACTCCCTTTCCCCCTTCTTTGACGCTCTTGCGCATCACCCCAAAGGCACATGGAGGCAGCTGTTCCCAGTAAACATGGGGAGCTGGAAGTCTGTCCTGGTCTTGAGCAGGCAGTGTAGGGGAGCAGGAGCTCACTGTGTGCACACCCACACTTCTAACACCTGCCCGGACCAAGTACCCTCTGTGCTGTTGGAGCCTGCCAAAAGACACAAAGCCAAACTTTCACAATCATCTTCTTCTTAATGAGATTCATTGTATTATCTGCGTGTGTGCGTGCGTGTGTGTCTCTTAAACCTCTTGAAATCATACCTCTGTGGCTAAATCTGAAGGGTGTCTTGTTCAAAACAGGTTTTTAATCCAGTTGGTTACAGACAAGACCTTGAAAATAACACCTCTGAGACATGAAAATCAAGAGGACAAAACAAAAGAGCTCAAATACTACTACTTTCTAAAAGCTCATTTCACGTTTTCTATCAGGAAATGTTATAAATCCTGTACTTGAGATCCTGGGAACTTACCTAGAATTGGCATAAAGCTTTGAAAAGGATTCCCAGTCAACATTAGATTCACCTATACTCATATGAAATCATGAATTACAGATGAGACAAATCACACCTGACAGTGACAATTCCTCACACAGCATTCAAGAGGAAGGGTGCGAAGGATACTTTACTGCTGGATTCACTCTCTGAGGCTATGTTCTGA